GAGCTATATCACACTTCAGCACACCATCCATTTCTGCTTGTAAATGTCCTTCCTAATTAAGCTTTAATATAAAAAGAACCAAAAAAGGTATGAAGCTAGAGAAACAAACGTACCTCCCAGCCTCCAAATACACATTAACTTCACTCTACAAAAATTACATACGTGACATTTTTTTTGTGTGTTGTTAGAGATAGCACCACAGGCTTCAGGTCTTAAAATACATTTGACTAATATAGACAACGTGGTGTACTGTCTCTCTGTCCTCTCTTGAAAAAAGAATCAAGAGAAATGAAGAGAATAAAAAGAATCCCAATAGCAAGTGAAATCATCCTCTGCCTCAGATAAAGCCAAAATGCCACTGATCAGAAGGCTGTTCACCAGAAGCAACCAAATACAAATGAGAACTTGTTCTGTAGAGAATGATGGAAGACAGAGGACAAAATAAAGTCTCTTTTTCACTGTTTCTCCTAGCAGTATTGTTCCAACTCTTATAGTTCCTACTGTTCTTACAGCCTTGCGAATGTGGTTGTCATCTAGCAACATCTTAACAGCTATTTTACCCCACTTTCCCCACATTCTCTTCTTCCCTATTAACCTGTACTATCCAATAGTTCTAGCCCTGGAAAACAAAGGTGCATACCTATCACATATAAAAGCCGTATAGAATTTCAAAAAACGAATCACTCAGGTGCCTCAATTATCTTCAAATTTAAATAAAATGTGAAGGAAAAGGAGATAAACAGGCACAAGCCATAACAAAAACAATTCCATCCTTCAGAACCTCTATGTTCCTAAACCAACAACTTTGCACCTTGCTCCTCTCTATGTTAATTCAGTCATCAATTTTGACTGCCTTTCATCTCCGCAAAACACTTTATTACTTTCTGTTAAAGGAAAATTAACAAAATAACACAATTGTCTTTTGTTCAGCTCAGCTTTGCTTTCCTTTCAATTAAAAAACAAACACAAAACAAAAAACGAAAAACAAAAAACAAAAACAACAAAAAAAAAACTGGCTTTGACTATATTACCTACACAACTTCATTTTTTCTGTTGCACAGCATGTCCATCCAGAGGACCCAGCCCTCTCGTGTCATCAGATTCCCTGCAAACAAGCACCTTCATGCTTTTCCCCATGCCTGAAGGAACTCCTCAGTAACATTCTTATTGCTACTTTTACCTGCATTGAAGTCTCCCTTTAAAATGTATATAATATATATATATATAATGCCTGCAAAAAATTAAAACACTGATTTTCATCCTACCCTTATACATTATTTCCTAGTGGTTCCCTCCGTGCCTATATACATTAGATTCAACTCATATCAGACAAGTTATGTGGCAGACCACCACATTCTCAGTCCAAAAATTAATCAGACTACCTTTGGTAAACATCCAGAGCCAATAGAAGCAAGCACTATAAGAATGAAATAAATGCACAGCTGCACTAAATGTATAGCTGCCTCTACTACAGCATTTTATAACCTATATGCACTACAACATTCTAGAAAAATTCAAGTTCAGTTCCTGTAGCGCATGGGAAAAGGTTCTTGCTGTGACAAATCAGCCTTGGATGGTGCCAGCTGTGCAGGCACCATGCTTCTCCCTTGCTGAAATTCAGCCACTGACCTCCAACAGCCAAGTTCTAGATTTTAGGTCATTCACACATCAAAGCCTCAGCCCTACAAAGAGGTATAAATAAGAAATTTAGTGAAGTATGAAGGAAGAGTGGTTACTTCTAAACAAAAAGACTTTGACCTTTTGTTTGGTTAATCTCGGGGAAATAATTACAGATCATCTCTCTCACTCTCCTTTTTAAAAGTAAGACTTAAAAAAGAGAAAGAAAAAAAAAAAGGCTAAACAAGCATCGTGTAACATATAGCATTGCATTTCTTTCATCTGCACTGGTAAATTATAAAACGTGCAAATTTTCTCACACCTATCAACAAAGTTATGAATCCATTCTGGTTTTATTTATTGTCATAAGTGGCTGTAAATTGCGTAAATGCTATTGCAGTGGCCTTGCAGTGATGTTTTTAAATAAAAGACTACTCTTCTTGCAGAAATGCCATCTCATAAGGACTTGAACTGAAATGCAGAGTCAGAAAAGTGTAATGTCATCTAAGAAATTACCTTCATAAATATATAATCTGAGCTAAAGGAAATTTTATTTCTTTGCCCAAGTAGCTTCATTTCTTAAATATTCTGCTAAAGAAAGCAGATTACAGAGATGTGTATCCTTATTAGTATGTCTACGATCCCTCACAATGTGCTGCAAACTATCAAAATTCAAACTGCTTTTAAATATCTCACTTGTGTATTTACAAGTACAAGCACTTTCTCAGTTTTCTCTGTTTATTCATTAAGCATGTGATACTGTTTAGGAAAGCAATGGTAAAATGATTGAAGTCCAGCTGTAACATTAAGTTCTCATGATCTGCAATTAGACAAAAGTCCATTAGTCTTTGCACTCTGCTAATGGCTTCTGTGATCTGAACTACATGAAGTGAGTTCCCTGTCACAAACACATGAAAATACTGGAGCACTCTGTTTCCCTGTCTGTCAGTTGTCCCAGGTATGAAAATAGACACAATGGTTTCATGTGATCAAACACTACTGTAACAGAAGAAAGGTTGGGTATTTTTTTCCTAATAGCATTCATCTACTACTAACACAATCCTTTTAAATTAGAACTTGTAGATAAATATGTGAAGTCTTCTCTTGCTATCTCAGTAACTTAAATTTTGTCTAGATTGCTGGCTCTAAAACCTTTATCTCTGAGCTAAAAGGGAATGAGTTCTGTGCCAGGGTTAATGAGGGGTCAGTTTCACTCCAGATAAGTTTATACATTGTAAGTTCTCCAAAAATACTCATAATGGGAGGTGAAGAAGAGTGGGACAGCTAGAGAACAGAAAGGCAAATTGGATCAAGTAACTTGTGGAAGGTGTCTAAAACCCGGGACGACCCACTGCCAAATTTGATGGAAGTAATGTTTCCAAAACTGTTATATTGAGAAGTAGATGAAAGCAACTAAACAGGGTATCTGCAACTTAGAATGTTTTCAGGACTGCTGACAAGAAGACAACAAGAGAGTAAGAAGTGGCAACGGCAACTGCAGTCTGTGCAGAGATGATAGTATCACCCTTTGTGCTCTTCTATGGCTGCAACAGATTCCGAGTACAGAACACAAGAAAAATGGCCAGTGTACCAAGCCAAACAGGCAAAAGAACAACATAATCCAAGCAGCCTTAAAGTCCAAATTGGCTAAGAATAGCTCAGAAATCCTTAAATGCAGGTAAATGCTGAGTGCCCCAGCAGTAAACACAGAAAAAATGTCAAACTCAGAAGTCTCAAACACTCAAACCTGACCATCTCCACATCTCACAGGCACCAGTACCCTGAAGGTGATGTCTACCAGTTTCCTAGAAATCCCTTAATTGTAAGGATCAGAATGAGAAATTAAAGACAATCTAACCAGCTTGCTTAAAGAGGCTTCAGGGCCTGCTGCTGCTCCTGCTGCTCAGAATTCAATACTCCCAAGAAGGTAGGAGGGTGAAGAGCCATGCTGAATCAGAGCCTCTTTATCTCCTTCCTCTAAACTAATGCACATTCTTCTTCAAAAAACAATTTGAACAGAATTTTGCTGGTGGTATTGAACAACTGCAAGAGGTGGAGGATCTTTTGATGTATGTCTTGGAAAGAAAAGCAGGGCTGAAGGACATAAAACTTGAACACAGGAAGTTCCATACTAACATGCACATTAACTTCTTTACAGTAAGGGTGATGGAGCAGTGGAGCAGGTCGCCCAGAGAGATGGTGGAATCTCCATCTATGGAGATATTCAAGACCAGCCTGGATGCCTACCTGCATGACCTACTGTGGGGTATCTGCTTTGGCAGGGAAGTTGGACTCGATGATCTCTTGAAGACTCTTCCCACCACTGAGATTCTGTGATTCTGTGATATTGTAAAGTCCTTTCAGTTGCCTGAAAGTTGTCTCAGTATCAAGTGTGTGTTAATGTATCAATTCATGATCCCCGAATACAGGCAAAAATGGAAATACTGGGTAATGCAGGATCCTTCCATTAAGAAATAATGCTCCCTCTCATGTTAGTATCAGAGTTGCATTTGGGAACAGCGGGGGAGAGGCAGCACAGCCAGTACTGAAGCCAAAGAGGACAAAAACCCAATGTTGAGTGTACTTCCCTGGCTTTCTACTTTTTTTTATTTTTTTTTTTCCTCTCTCTTTCTCTCTGTAAGAGTCCATGACAGATTTTCTCCAATATCAGTCCTCACTGATATCCTCTACTTGAGTTTACACAGTAGATTCCACAGTGGCCAAATCAGAGTTGTGAAGGAAACCAAAACAACATTCTTATGTCCATCTTTTTGGTAGTTCTCAAGATGACACTGATCAGTGGCTACCTGTAAAGACAGAGCTGAATATTCTGGGGTAGCATTTCAACATACATTTATTCAGAAGAAAGCTGGTTCTTGCTGCCTACCTCAGCCAGTTCTGAGGTTGGTATGCTCAATGGCTTAGAAGAAACGTCTAAAATTTCAACTCCCTGCATCTGGAGAGTTCAGATAAAACCCAGCAAACTCAGTTTCTCCCTCCTGTCCAGGAAAACTACACAAATTTAGTTACACATCTCAGTTAAGTAGAATCACATGTTCCAAGTGACAGAGAGACTGAAGATTACTTCTGAAGAAATTATTGAAAGATAAAAGCTTTATCAGAGAAAGGCAAACATGAGAAGGAAAATACATGTTAAAGGTGTTATTAAACACTAAAAAGCATAGCATCATTATACATAGAATCACTAAAAAGCAAGAGCAGTAGCATACAGAATTCTAAACTATAACTGTATAGTATTAATGAGGCAGACTGTCAATTCTTAACCACAACGAACAGTGTTCATCACACAAACACTGCAGTCTAAAATTAAATGAAAAATCAACATTTTATACCACATTACAAGAGTATATTCTAGATCATACCTCAGGTGCCAGGTATTCTGGAGTACCACAGAATGTTTTCATAGTTGCTGCATCTGTGATTCCTTCTTTGCAAAGTCCAAAATCTGTAATCTTTATATGCCCATCTTTATCCAACATTAGATTTTCTAACTGTGTGTTGAGGAAAAAAAACATTCCCTTAGTACTTCTGAACAAGATAGGCTGCTGCACTAGATCAATTTTTTAAATTTTAACAAAAAACTGTGCTGTATCATTCCTCGACCAGACTACTGCACGTATTTGCAATATGTCACAGTATTCCATGTTATTAAAAACAGATTCTGCTATGAATTCTTTTGCCTCATGCAAAACTTGCCTACCACATTTTTCTTCTCTTCAGTTCCTGCTCCACAGCTACACACAAATAAAGTGACAATGTAAAAAATTTGGGCTTTTCACAAAATGATCTCATCATAGAAATTTGGGTTTCCTCCCATGTAAGTTTGAAGAAGTTCCCGTTGAAAGCAGGACTATTTTCCAAAGAATATGCCCACACTGCATCACAGAGTATCTTCAGCACAACTTAAAAGGAGCTTCAGGCAATACAGCTGGTAACACAACTGCCAATCTAAGACACAAAAGCCAATCTAAGACAAACTGCATTCCAGCAGTATCTATTTTTCCCAGTATACGAAAGACAAAAAATTAAGGCTGAAATTCTTCTATTTAGGTATGCTAAACTATTTAACATGTTTTCAAAACATAGAAGAACATATTTCTTTGGTGAAATACGCAGAATACCATCACATTTTCCCAATTCTCCATTTCCCTTATTTGGAGACACTAACTACTTGAGATTTGTCTGGAAATATGAGCTAAGTTTTAACTAAAAGGGGGAAATAAAAACCATTGGAGGTTTAAATCTCCTTCAACTAGCATCATGAAGGAACACTTTTTTGAGCAGTGTGCCTATGGATTACTGTGTCAAAGTGGTTCCTTCAGCAAACACACACTGAACACAGACTTTTTCTCCATTAACTCTAAAGAGTGCAACTTTATAATTACTTTGTGTTTGTCCCAACAGTCTCTGCAAAAACAAAAATTCTGATTACTTTTTTTTTTTTTTCCTTTTTTTTTTTTTACCTTGAGATCACGGTACACAATCTTCCCAGAATGCAGATAGTCCAGAGCTGAGACAATTTCTGCACCATAGAAGCGTGTGCGGTCCTCTGAGAACACCCGCTCTCTCGACAAATGGAAAAACAGCTGCGGGGTAAACAGCAGGGACAGGATTGTAATAATTACTGATTTAGTGGGGGAAATTAACACAAACATAAAACACCTCTCATCACCATATTGTGATGATAGATAGTATACTCTCAGTGGACACTCAGCACTCTTAGACAGCAGCTGGCTTATCTTTTCCAGGTTTCCAAAGGGAGAAAGCGAGCTGTTAAATCAGCGTTTTAATCAATATACCAATCTTGTTTAAGGCATTCTGTTTGCTACTCATTTAACCTTCAGTTACCAGAGGAAAAAAAAAAGTACGCAGCAGAAGCATTCTGCACTTCTCCCTCCACCACTTCCTCATATTTTTGTTTCAAGCCACTGAGAAACATCATTAAAACACCTAGAGGCTGGTTCCACCTTCCGTTTTCAGTAAGTTAGCAACCCTTCTTTGCACTGAAAAGACTTCCAGTTCTTGAGCAGACTTTGAACAGGTGAGCTGGTATTTTACACAAACAGCAAATTCATAATGCTAATGATATTACAGTCATTAGAAAAAGCAAACAGAGAGCTGCTTAGGGCTTACAAAAAGGAACCTACGCATTTTTCTCTTTTTCTTTATCTCTTCGCAAAGTTTCTTTGTTTTTTAATCTTTTTCAATACTTCATTATTAACAGTAATTTACAGACAGTTGTTTATCTGAAATTTTTCAGAGAAAAATATTAATCATTATGTATTGCCAAAAATTTCATCTTCAATAAAAAAGAATACGGTGAAGCTAGAGTTCTGCAGGGTTATCAGTATCTTATCAGATACAGTATCACCCACAGAACCAAAGCAAGATACATACACATATGCAGAATTTGGCTGTATAGTCACTCTAAATTGATAGCTTTGTTTACTATGTTAAGAATGGTTGGGAAACTCTAAATAAATATTAGTAAATATGCTTCAGTTATCTACTTAAGGCCAAATAGGTCTTCAAACCATCCTTCAAGTTACAATGCTTTCGTGTTTACCACAAAAGCTAATGATCAACAAAACGTAAATACAGAAATTATTATTCTGTACATTAAATACAGAGTATATTCTTTTTAATTTAAAGGCTCAAAATATCAGACAGTTGAGAATTCCAGAAAAGCAAAGCAGGTGGTTTTTTTTTTTTTTTGGTTTTTTTTTTTTTTTTTTTTAAAAAAAAAGGACACCACAACCCCAAATCCAATCATATGCCTTATCTGTCATAACCACAATGTATTTTTCACCCTCAGGAAGTGTACACTGTCTAGATGGCAAAGAAGAATACAAATATTGCTGTAGTTATTTTCAATGTATAGTCTCTTCAAAATCCAATTGAAAACTCAGTCTATTATGTCTGCTCTGAAAGTAATGTCTCCTGCTTTACTATGCTGACCCATGAAGTCAGAGGTGGATGTTGGAGGTATGGCAGTAGAGACTGACCTTTCCTGACAATAACCCACTACATTTTGTTGCTGTGTAACAGATGGCAGCAGAGGGGCAGTCTGACAAATTGTCATCTGACACAGGAAGTATGTAGGAAACACAGGTGTGGAATTGAATTCCTCCATGCGAAAAAAAATTGCATCAATTGACATTCATTGACGCTTGTTGAACATTCATGGAGACCAAACAGTGGATATGAGCACAGGGAGGAGGTGGGTGGTGACAGTAATATGAAAGTCAATCCACATTCTGTTGCACCACAAAATGAAGAGCATCTTAATCAGTTCATCTGTGCAAATCAGTGGATCACAACCAGGGAACTGTATACCAAGCTGAATATCAGCTTCAGTGCATTGGAAACAACGGTGTCAACAGTGGAAAATCACAAAGCTTGCACCAGTTGGGTCCCATGAATGCTCACACAGGAACAGAAACAACATTGTACGCAAGTTTCAGGACCTGTTGAACCAACACAAGGCTGAAGGTGACTGCATCATTACCAGTGATGAGATGCTGTGTCACCACTCCAAGCTGAAGTCAAACCGGCAGCCAATGGAGCAGTGATGTGAATTCCCCATTAAGGAAAAAGTTCAAGATGCAGCCCTCCACAGGTAAAGTCTTGTGCAGTGTCTTTTGTGATAGGAAGGAGGTGATCCTTCTGTATTTCCTGGATTCTGGACAAACCATCAATGTTGACTGCTATATTGTGACACTTAGCTGACAACTGTCAGTTCTGTCTGCTCTGCCCTACCAAACCCACTACAGAGTCTGGATATGGAGCCTTCTGACTTCCATCTCTTTGGGCTGACGAAAGACAGACTGCATGAGCAACATTTTCCTACCAATGATGCCATTACAGCACCTGTGAAACAGTGCGTCACCTCCACTGGTGCACACTTTTATAAGCACAACACGCAGGTTCTTCTTCATTGCTAGTCAAAATGCATAGCTATTGGTAGTGACTATGTTGAAAAATAGTTAAAAAACAAGGCAATTGTTCTGGATTTGCCAAGAGATTGTGAGTCCCTGGGTCAGTTTATTTTAATGTTACATGCAACTAGAACTCCTAAGCTCAAGGCAGAATTCCTTGGAATTCACATTCCAATGTGTCTAGAATGTATTAAAGCTTCAAATCCCCTCAGGAAGCCAACACATGCAATTGATAAGGAAATTAAACACTTCCCTTACATATTTAAAAATAACAAGAACAAACAAAAGCAAACAAAACCAGTGTTTTTTCAACTTTATCTTGGCTCAGAAAGAAACAATTTTCAAGCAAGAGGAGCTTAAGTAGATGGAAGTCAGTTAGGGTTCCCCTCCTGAGTGAAGAGCCAAGTTACTCTTCCTGAGCTATTTATTCACTGGAATTGCACAGCTGTTCCCACTGCAGCCACTGTACTCTCAGACTGCAGCTAGTACACTATACAAAACCAAAGTCAAAACTCCCCTACAGACTGTGATGGATCAACCTCTGCTTCCCAGGTATACGACTTGTTGGCATAAGCAAACAAATGTTCAAAGTAGACTCTTCTGTGAATCAGAGACCCTGAAGAAAACGCTTTAAGACACGTACATGCAGCCTGATGTCTGCACCCACTAGCTGTGACTAAGCATGTGTGAAACAGCAGGAATCTGGGCCTCACTTCCCTAGCTGGTAGAGTGGGCAGAATGTCTGATGGCAAATATGAACTATTCTGTAAGTAAAACATTATCATTTTAATGCAGTTACTTGTCACAAGCATTCCTCATACTACTTTAGTACCTAGAACAGTTATCAAACCATATATGCAAGTGTTCAACGACAAGCAAGTCAAATGTAAATTCGTACAATGGTGTATATGTTAAAGATGCTACAGCAAATTAGAAAATTGTAATAGAAAAAACTAATTCCAAAAAGTTACAGCAGAATTTTCAGCTAATCATTTACTTTATTATTTCAGAATAATTAGGCCACAAGGCTCTACTCACAACTGACATAACATGAAGTCTGGATTTATTAGGTCTGGGAAGGAAAAGAAGAAATCTGATAGCAGGTTATAAAAAAGCTTCCAGCATTTGCACTATTTATTGATTTGCAGTTATTAAACAGGAGAGAGAGTCACAATTGCAATAGAAATAGCTTTGGCACAAAGAAAGTCATTTTGCACATAATTTTATGATGGCATACATGACGGTGCTATAGTTACAGTGAGGATTGTAGCTATAAATTTCCTGCCATGTCTGCATTTAGAAACTGAACAACAATTTTGCCATGGTGCTTTTTTTTCCCTAATAGGAAATGATAATGAAAAAATCTTTACAAATAATAACAAAAGTCAAATATAAAAGCACACTCAACTGCAGAGTCAGTAATTCCAAATACATTTAAGACCCAACCTTACACAAATCAATATATTCAACTCCTACACGTTAGTGACCTACTGAGCATGTTGAATGTCGTATGACTGGCTCTTGCTATTGCACATTGGGTTTGCACAGCTCTGCAGTTAAACATACCTTATATTTTTTTTGGTAGAGCAGCAACAACTGTGACATTGAAACTATTTGTTTATTGTTTCTTATATATAGCACTTCTAAGCAAATTCTATGGCCAGAAAAATATAGGGCCCTTGTTCTGTACAGTATGAACTTTAGGCCAAAGAAAACACTCTCTGTTATGCAGAGTTTAGGAAAATAAGACAGCATAATACTGACAAAAATAGGAAAGACTGCAATGATATTCAGTTATTTTTCATTAGGTAGATTGTAAATCATCCTCTTTTTCCAGACTGTAATAGCACTTGTTCAATTACACCAAAACATTTGGTCCTCTCTCACCTAATGAATTGAACTAAGAGCTGCAGAAAACAAATGCCAAGTAGAACAGATTCAGAATTCTGGTGTAAAGCAATCATCTGAACAAATTTTAATGTCTGTTTTATTTATCTTTATTACACAGATAATTAGCAATTAAGTTAGTTACAAAGTATAGAAGTTTAAATTATGTTGAAACTGCAAAGCATGAAAGTTAATCAACTTACTAATCAACTGAATCAGTGTATTCTGCAGAGTAATGTGAGTGATAGATTTCACTCCTGTAGCTTTCCATCCTTTAATGCAAAATACCAGAAATAAAAAATGGGAAACATACACTCTGAAAATATTCCCCAACACCAGAGCCGTTCTCAGTATGGTTTTTTTACACCATAGTTCATACGACCCTGTGCATGTAAGGAGCCAGGAGGATATTATAACATACTGCTAACTTACTGTAATCACATGGTTCTCAAAATAATACGGATTATAGAAGAAAAAGTAGGCAAATCCATACAAGCAGGAAAAGCATTAATACAATCTTATGCTCTTTTTTTTTCTTTTTTTTTTCTTTTTTTTTTCCAAACTGTTATTAAGACAGGAGCAGGAAAATGAAAGTCTTGTTAAAGCAGGTGCTTGTCTACGAGTACTGATAATTTTACTCATTTAAAAAACTTACACTAATGTTACTATTTTCAATCAAAATCAAGAACACGGTTTATCATACAATATTGCATATAGTTGGTTACTGAGAATTCATAAAATAGAATTGTTCATCTCAACTAAGCCAGATGAAAGCCAGATTTTCATTAAAATGAAATATCAATGTCTTGGTGTTACTTTAATGTAATTCCTTCATAACAGACATATAAAGAAGTCAGCATAATGCCAGTAGCAGCATTCATGCACTATACTATAGCATAATTTATGATCAATAAACACTGTTAAACACTAACAAAAAAGTTAACATTTCAGTCCATAATAAAGACTGTGTCCCTAAGTAACAGAATATGTACTATAAAAGCTGCCATTATAAAAAAAATGCACTTAATGTTTCTGTCTGAATAATCTACTTTAAAAAATCTTCCAATATCTTGCTTTTATAAATATAACTACAGAAAATACTATTTTAAAAGTGAAATTAAAAGAAAATTAGGCACATTCATATTTTGTAAACTGTAATAAAAAGCACACAGATAGGCCAGTAAAATTGAAGCAGTTACTTTCTCTTCATAAAGGCCTGCCTTTTTAACTGAGTACAACTGCTTAGATATTAGGCAGGAAATGTAACGCTAAGATAAATTGTTACCATTTTAACAATTAAATTAAATTAAATACCACTAGATTTTCAGTTGATATAGAGATTCGTATTTAGAATATTTTTAATACAATTTCTTTCCCTCCAGAATGAAATTCAGGAACTCCTTCTTTTACTGTTTTCCTTCCTAATCACAAGAAGAGGAACTGAAGATCCCTGTAGTACCGACTACATCTTTTTCATTACTATAATAGAGCAGAACTCTGCATTGTGGCATTATCTTGCTTTCACCTGGGTCAGAGTCAAGGATACTGATAGAAATTTCAAGAACTCTTTCATTCAGAGGACTGTTTGGGTAACTCACTCCTGAAAGATATAATCCAAGAAAATTCCCAAGCAATTGACTAAGGCCCAATTAATTAGGAAGTGAACTTTAATCTAAAGGAAATCTGAACAGAAACACAACTGAATTTAGCACAGTTCTGGAGAGAAACAAAAGCAACATGGTACCGTTACAGACAATTTCCCACTGGAAAGACACAATTAAAAGTTATGTTTTCAACATCTTCAATGGTTAGAAACTACTGAAACACAGAGAGAGCAGTAGAGGAAAACAACAGAAGACCAAAGTCTGTGCGCAGTATAGGAGATAGGCTTCTGAACAGCTAAAATGTTGGCTAAATCTAGTATGACTTACTCCGATTTAATGAGGCTATTTTTACAAATACAAAATTGAATTCCTTAGCAGACAGTGACTTAAGTCTGAAATTCACATGGAAATTTGGTAAAACCAAATATTTTCTTATTAAAAAGGGCACTTTGATCATTCCAGATCATAAAAGAGAAACACTTAATAAATCAAAAGAGTTTCTTCAAGGAAAACTGCCACCGAATAAAGGGCATTACTTCCCAATAAGGTGAAAATCTGCGCTTAGCTTAAGTGAACTAGGTGACCATCAGAAAGAACACCAGAAACAGTAACAAACAACAGCATCACAGCTGGAAAAAAAGTAAGCCATTCTTGGCAAAGTATATTACAATCATACATTCATTATATTCAAATCCCAATGGGCAAAAGCAGGTTATGAGCAAGAAACATGTTTGCAGCAGTTGCCACAAAGGCACACCACCAAACACAGAAGGAGATGCGAGATATATGCTTAATCAAAAGAGGGTATTAGAACATCTTCAACTGTAATCAAGGAATCAAAAATGTTCCTAGTGGGCTCTCTTCTGCATTCACATAGGCAGCTTTCAAGAAAGCAAGCATCTAAACATAAACAGCAGGTCAATGTTAAATGTATACCTTCAAAGTATGAGATTACAAAATGGTCCTGTACAGAGAAGACTCAGAAGAATTAGCTAGTTTAGAAGGAATCATTTTTAAAACTCATTGTAAATAGCACTCACTTAATATTTCTGATGTAAGTTTAAAGCCAAATAAGCCAGATGAGTATTCAAAAGAAGGCTGTTATAGCATTACCACAGAAGGAAATTCTGTGTACAATTCCACTAGCCAAAATTGCTTCATTATTTGAGTAGGATTAATAGATACAAACTTAAGCCATTTTCTTATATGAGAACCCTGTACCACCATGTTCAGTGGTGTAGGGTGACCATAAATGACTTAAACGAAAATGAGCCTCAGACTAGGCCCAGAAATTGCCAGAGCAGGGAATGCAGAACAGGGACCCCTGGGGTGATCAAGCATGAAGATTATAATGGAAGACAGTTTTATTGTAGCAGAACATAGCAAAAAGATCATGCAAAACATGACATCATGTTGCAACAGTTCCTCAATGTAGAAATTGTTTTCTAATCAAAAAAGCAAGGGGAAAACCACTTAGTCCTTTAATGCTACCAGGCAGTAAATAGCATACAAAGTATCAAACTCCCCCTGGTTCACACTGTAACAAGGTATAGCCTGAACAGCAACAGACCCTCAAAAGGCAGATGAAATCTTTCTTCCTATACTGTAATTATGTTTAATTCCACTTGACTGGTATAGCTTTTTATACTCCATACTTCAGTGAACAGCTGGAGGACAGCAACGGCTTACAACACTATAAAAAGTTTTGCACCTATGTTTAAATTTCCAGAGGGCACAGCAAGCAAAAAGGAAGGAAGTAAAGAAAAATACAAACATCCCATTCTTTCCTCCCAGGTATTTGCAATGGCTACAGCAAAGTAGAAGGCAGGTATTTCACATTAGGACAAAAGCAAGACTACTTCAGTTTCTTTATAGTGGCTTATAAACATGTTGTGCCAGAATATGCTATAAGTACTTGAAGGAAGAAAATAAAAAACAAACAATAAAACAAAGGATTTGTGCTTGTCATTCTACCATGAAATTATCTTTAAAATAATAGCCTAATTTTTCAAGAATGGACAAATGCATCATAGTTTTAAAAAAGGTCAACTTTTCTTTTTTTCCACAAAACAGTCAAAAAAAATTGAAAAAAAAAAAAAAAGACCCAACAAACAGTTCAAAAATCACAGAAAGCAAGGAAAGAGAGAAATGATGCCCTTTAAAGCGTAACCCAGTGACAGCACTACCATCACTAGTACAAAATGTCTTTTTTAAACTTACCTCTCCTCCATTAACATACTCCATCACAAAACACAAACGATCCTTTGTCTGGAAGGAATATTTCAAGGACTTGCAAAGAAAACAGCAAAAACAAAACAATTATCAATTTGTATTAACTTGGTTTCTTGCACTTTAACAAAATCTGATTTTATCTTCTTAACCAGAAGATTAACTTTTCAATATTGACTTCATTTTGCTGGGAAAAAAAAAAAAAAAGATACCGAAGAAAATCTACAGATGCAGATATGGCCTAAAATTAAGAAATGTAGTAAAACAAAATCATAATGCAGCTCACATAACTTAAGATAGTTGTTTTACTAAATCAGGAAGACATAAAGATATACCTGCACCGACATCTCTGCATGACTTGAGTACAATTATGCCTACTTCTGCTTATCTTTACACTCTAAGAAACTTCTGAAGAACTTGTTGACTTGAGTTCAAGAATATTCTGGCCAAGGAATGAAACTGAAGTCCTTTGCTTTATAACGGTTTTATTTTTCTACATGAGGAAGTTTCCATGTTAGGCATTCCTTTTTTTTTAATAGGAAAAAATATATTTTTCCCCTCCTTACAATAATTCAATCTTTTGAAATCAAAGAAAAGATTTTCTAATACGTTCTCAAAGAACAAGATTAATAGTTACTTCTACAGAAGTAATTTGTCATGCATATCAAAATTCTCATCTTCTTTTCAGGATTTTCTATTAGACATTAACCAAGTGAAGACAGACATTGAAATAGCAGTGGTTAAATTTTGTTGCTCCATGAGTTACTTCTGCTGAACTAATTGCTATTTCATCATTTTATTGAAATCTCTGTAGATGAAGTTTTCTTAATACAAATAACTTCCGGGATAAATACGTAAAACCACGTTTTAAAGTGTTCACATATAAAAAGTTCTGAACAGTTACATTCTACATCAAAATGTGTTTTCAGTACATTTAGGCATCATAAATTTATTAGAAATTTTATTTCTGAATAGTTAAATAAGTACAAAACCATTATACATCTTCATGAGAAAGACTTCAAAGTTTGTCTGTAAGTTACGTCCATACTGGAATGCCCAACATGTAGAAAATACCTATTTAAGCTCTAATGGCACATAATATTTAGTTCCTAATACTTACTGTTAAAAAAGGATGTCTGGTGTTTTTCAATACTCTGCTTTCTGTAAGTGTATGAGCCACTTCATCCTAAGAAGCAAAAAATACAAGAAGTAGGTTTTAATTAAGATACAAAATTGCTGTTAGTTTATTACAAGGAAAAGTTAATACTTCCAGAAACACAAATCTACACTGAAGACATGAAAAATGAATGAAATTGCTCACTGAATGAAACTAAAAAAAAAACAAAACATTAAAAGTATTAATTTGTATTTAGAAAAAAATGTAAAGTAAAATAAAAAATTCAGCAACATACAATTTAACATATTTGATTTTTCTTCAAATATTGCTTTAAAATGAAGTCTTAAAGTTTACAACCACTGCAGGGCAGGAAAAAAAACAATAATCTTGGATTTGGTCTTTTCATAATATAGCCATCAGACCTGCAAAGTCATCAGAAATGTAAAGCTCTCATGTGCATCATCTGAATGATGAACACAGGCTGAAATTAAATCAGTTTGCAGGAAAGGTACACAGCTAGTAGCTCATAGGCAATCATAGAACAAAGTCTAATTTTACAGCATTTTTTTCTTTTTTTAACATTGTCTTGGTGTTTGTTTTTCTTTAAAACCATTCAGCCAAAATGGAAGAGTGTCCATGCAAAATCCCTCCTCAACCTCTGTGTGATCCTACAGAAATCACATGAGAAGCACTTCTCTGGCCAAGCCTGCCCTGCCTCCTGGAAGCAAGTCGAAAGATGGCCAGGGAATGCCCTTCCCCATTTCCAGCCAGGTTTAGAAAACATGGCAATTCAGAGCAAGACAGTTGCACTCTCCTGTCCCTCAGCCTAAATCACAGGATTGCCATAAACCCCATGCCAAATGCAAGGAAACTCAGCTCCAGTGCATACTAGTGCCTGGGAAAGCTCATCTGCCCTCTACCTGCCAGCTGTCTCTCCCTCCAGAGCCCTCTCTTGCCTTTCCAGGCAAGGAAGGAGCCTAGATGAAGGGCTCAAGGCCATAGGGACAGATTATGGCCAGTGTTGCCCTCACATTGCCAAGGGCCTGACCTAAAAAGTCAAGAAGCACCCTGCTAGTTTTTGCCATTGACTGTGGCGCTAAGCATCAGCTGAGTATTATACTGAACTCAAGACAAACCTGGTGACTAAAACACCAACCATAACACCACATACGTAAATTTATTTTGATGGAATATGCTTTAATATTGCTGCAAATAATACTAACGTAAGATTACTGTCCTGGGCATGCTTATGCTCAGCTCTGAAGATAAGGTATCATTAAACTAATTTACTAATTAAACTATTATTAAAGTAAACACAGATGTCAGGAGTTTTAAGATCATGCTTTTAAAAACTGTCAAAATAGGGAGTTAAAAAATAACAAGAGTTCTCAGTAATAAATTCTGATGCCATCCAGTTAAGTAGTAGTGCATTATTGAGTATAGACACTACAACCACGTACTGGGAGAAAAACAAAAATTGCTTCAAAGAGAAAAGCTATTCTAAAGAATCATTCGTACAACAAAATCAAATAAATCACTTTATCTTGGATCCGACTGGCAATCTGTAATAAGCAGTGATGTTGCAACAACAAATCCAAGAGGCTCACCACCCATCTTTCTAATCTTCAATAATGTGGATTTAGTCTGCAATATTTCATCAATTGGTGAAGTGGATAAAAAGCCTATTCTCAGATTCAGACTCCAACTGAAAAAGCAGGGAGAACAGTGCACCATTCATAAACTTAGTGAATTTTATAATATGTTAATGACCTGAGGATAGAGATAAGGGCTTATCTACAAATAAACTTTTAATACATACTTACACAACATTGTAGTGTATCCCTATAGAGACTTTTTACACTACAATGATTAAGTTATTTTAATCATTATTTATATACTTCCACCTTTTGGTATAATTTTCAATATTGTTAAAGCAGAATTTAAGAAATACACACTCCTGCTAATTTTACTATTAAGCATCAATTTAGTTTGTACTTTTTAAGTTTCCAAGTGCACACAAAATCGATTTGCTACTGACACTATTCATGTCAGAAAGAATATCACTGAGGTGATATTGACTGTTTTCCGTAACTCTCATTCTTCGTCAGTTGTGATCTGAGTAAAAACTACCTAAACTGCTATTGCCTTCATGAGAAGAAAAAATAAAAAGGAATCCACACTTCTCTGGTGAATCATGAGGTTTGTATCAGGCAAAAAAATGAAGAATAAGCAAAACAGAAGCTGGTTTTCATGAAGCTCAAAGAAATGTAATCGCCTTTGAGGTTTCTATTCCTTTTTCTAATTTAATCACAGATCACAGAATCACCCGGGTTGGAAGGGACCTCAAGGATCATGTAGTTCCAACCCCCCTGCCTAGCAGGGCCACCAAACACACACATTCAGATCAGGTTGCCCAGGACCCCGTCCAACCTGGCCTTAAACACATCCAAGGACGGGGCATCCACAACCTCCCTGGGCAGCCCGTTCCAGGGCCTAACCACTCTCCTTGTATAGAACTTCCCCCTAACATCCAACCTAAATCTTCCCTCCTTCAACTTGGATCCATTTCCCCTAGTCCTGCTGTTGTCAGCCCTTTTGAAGAGTTTACTCCCCTCGTGGGTGTAGGTTCCCTTCAGGTATTGATAGGCTGCAATGAGGTCACCCCGCAGCCTTCTCTTCTCCAGGCTGAACAAGCCCAACTCCCTCAGCCTGTCCTCATAGGGGAGGTGCTCCAGCCCCCTGATCATCTTAGTCGCCCTCCTCTGGACCCTTTCCAAAATCTCAATGTCTTTCTTGTACTGAGGGCTCCACACCTGGACACAGTACTCCAGATGGGGCCTCACAAGAGCCGAGTAGAGAGGGACGATCACCTCCCTGTCCCTGCTGACCACCCCTCTCCTGATGGAGCCCAGGATCCCATTTGCCTTTCGAGCTGCCAGAGCGCACTGCTGGCTCATGTTCAGTCTCTCGTCCATCAGGACCCCCAGGTCCTTCTCTGCCGAGCTGCTCTCAAGGACCACTCCTCCCAGCCTGTACGGGTGCCTGGGGTTCTTCCGGCCCAAATGCAAAACCTTGCACTTTGCCGTGTTGAACCTCATCAGGTTCACCCGAGCCCAGCCCAGCCCATCCATCAAGAATGATCAACACATTCAAAAGCTATTAGAATGAGAATGACAGGCAGACAAACGAACAGTGAGATAGCTTGCAGAACTCTGTAGCCCTTCTTTTCATTCACAAGTAGAAAAACTGGAAAACATTTGAATGAATGAATATTTGAAAATACATATAATCCACAGCTCTTATCATACACAGTCAGCTTCCAGGAACACTGGTATTACTTGCCTCAAGCATTCAAGAAATTTCAGTCAGGCTCACATCCCTCAAAAACCTCTTTACTTAGTAATCACAATTATTTTTAATTGTATAACGATGACAACAGCAAGTACTGTTCTTGTTCCCGAAGTTGTCTTGAGCAAGTAGGGTTCAAAACTTTAGCATTACGAGAAACAAAGTTCAGATCTTCAAGTTAAAGCTGGATAGAATCATCACCAACCACAAGGGCCAATAATGTTACATAAATCCAATGTGACTGACACTTTCAATTTAAATAATTTCTACAGACTTCAGCCTCAGATTTCTTTTTTGTACCTCAAAAACTGGAACAATAAAATTCTTATTCCCATGCACGGCTAATCTTATCTAACAAACCAGGAACAGCATATTAAATTAAATTAATTAAATCAATTAATTAAATTAATTGTATTTATCTGACTAAACTTGCAACTCACTTTAAAAATGTTTAAGTACATAATTTACCCTACAATGTACTTTTTCTATTTATAAGCTTAGATGGCACAACTTTCCTGCACAGTGAATTCTCTAAGCGCTTTAGCATGCTCTAGGTTACTGAACAGTGGAAAAAGGAGTAAAAAAATCTGTACATGTTAATTTTGTTAACTCTTGTTTTCTGAAGATACACATATATTCTATTAAAATCAGTTACCGTAAAAAAAAAAAAAAATCAAATATAGCTTACTATAAGATGCTGATTATTCCATTAAAAAAGAAGAGAGAAGAAAAAGAGAGGGGAAGGGGAAGAAAAGGAAAAAGGAAAAAGGAAAAAGGAAAAAGGAAAAAGGAAAAAG